TTCCTTCCCTCAAAGTCCCCGAAGCAGGGTCCGCTTGGCCGATCTCCGTATCCTGGCCACACACCGGCCACACTGCATCCTTGGAACATGTGTTCACCACTAAGCAGTCTTTGTGCCCGTCATTCAAAAAAAGGCACAGCTACAGAAGTCGCTGGTCAGTATATTAATCGAATTTTTTTTTTTGAGTCGGAGTCTCACTCAGTCACCCAGACTGGAGTGCAGTGGCCACTCCCGGCCACCGCAGCCACGACCTGCTGGGCTCCGGCGATCCTTCCGAGTAGCCAGAATTACAGGCATGTGCTACCACGCCTGGCTGATTGTTTGTTTTATTTATTTATTGTAGAGATGAGGTCTCGCCAAGTTGCCCAGGCGGGTCTCAAACCTGTGGGCTCAGGCAATCCACTCACTTCAGCCTCCCAAAGAGCGGGATTACAGGCGGAGCCACCAAGCCCGGTATTAATCAAATTTTTAACAAAGTAATAATTCCAAGGTCTAAAAGGATTTTTTTTAAAAAATGAAGCCAGTAGTAATTGACATTTTGTTTTTGTAAGGCAGATTGCTAACACAAGATACATTTTTTAGTGGAAGGCCTTTCATTTGAGATAAAACAGCTACTTAATTTTCCCAAAACTCATCTATCGCATAGGATAAGGTACATCTTAAGGTGCCTGCAGCTCAGTGAAGATAGGGAAGTTATTTTTCTTAAGTATTCTCACCCCGACTATGTATTAGAATCATGGGGTAAAAAGTGGCCCCAGTTCCTACAATTCAGATTGTATTTTTCAGGGGAGGGCCCTGGCATTGGGGAGTTTCCCACATAATTCTAATGTGCAACCAAGATTGAGAATCAGAGAAATACATATGAAAGCATCTTGTAAAATTAAGGTCCTCTACAAATATGGATATGGTTTCTCCTTTAAATGATTCCTTGAAGTCTGTTGTCTCAGTTCTTGTATACCAAAAATTTCATTTCTAAGAGATAAAGAACCTACCCAGCTGGCTCTGTTCTATGGAAGTCCAGGAAGGGCAGGGTCCCCCACTCCAGAGTTCTCCCCATTGGGGGTATCCTTCCAGGGAGGAGAATTTGCAAATCTGATCAGTCAGACTAGGGTATTAACTAGGCCTCCTCTAAAGCAGGAAGGGCATGAATTACAAAGTTTCACATAAACTTGGTAGTCTCCTCACCAAGGTGGCAGAGCTAGGTTTTACTTACGTTTAAGGGAGGGGGACTGGACAACTTGACTTTTCTTCTCTCCTGCATCCTGAAACTTTCTCTGGTTGTATCTCCCACCTCCCATGCTGATGACAGAATATGTTCAGATCAGATCTTTTTTTAAATTTTTTATTTTTTGAGTTGGAGTCTCACTCAGTCGCCCAGACTGGAGTGCAGTGGCCGCTCCTGGCCACCGCAGCCTCGAACTGCTGGGCTCCGGCGATCCTTCTGCCTCACCCTTCCAAGTAGCTGGAACTGTAGGCGCGCGCCAGATCAGATCTTAATGTTCAGCCTCTTCTGCTTGTCTAGCTGAGAAAAGGTGACCAACCTGTGTGAGCGTCTACCTTCATTCTGCTTTTTACTTTCAGTGGGTTTCCACAATTAGCATCTTAATTTTACCATTTGTATCACACAGTTTCACCCTTTGTTATTTATAAAGGTATGCCCCCTTCCCTTTCTATCACATTGCTACTCGAGCATTCACTAACTAAATGTAGTACAGGGAATTCAAGTGGCAAAGATGCATAGATATGTGAGCTTCCCTGGAACAATTCCATGAAAGAACTAGAAATTGATAGACAACCTGATAGGATGTTCTGACCAGATAGGAAAGGGGACCCAGAGGTGAAACAGAAATGAAGATGATGAAAGTTATTAGAGAGAACAGAAGGGAGGGAAAAGTGTGTGAAAGTGAGAAGGGGAAAGTTTAGAGTATGAAGAATTTTAAAGTCAGAAATTAAAATGTCTGTCATATTATTATTATTATTATTTTGAGTTAGAGTCTCACTCTGTTGCCCAGGCTGGAGTGCAATGGCATGTTGACAGCCGCCGCAGCCGTGACCTGCTGGGCTCAGGCGATCCTTCCACCTCAGCCTTCCAAGTAGCTGGAACTACAATTGCGTGCCACCATGCCCGGCTGGTTTTTTGTTTTTTGTTTTTAATTGTAGAGATGAGGTCTCACCAAGTTGCCCAGGCTGGTCTCAAATCCCTGTACTCAAGTAATCCTCTCACCTTGGCCCCCATAGTGCTGGGATTACAGGCTTGAACTATTGTGTTCGGTCTCATTATTTTTTTTAAAGGTATATACTATCTTATTCACAAATCACTGAAAAGCAGCAGTGCAGCTGAAGGGAAAGGATGTCAGACAGACAGGAGTCAGAAGACCTGAGATGGAGGCTAGTGAGTCATTGCTGGCTATGACCCTGGGAAAGTATTTCTCAGCTTCCTCATCTGCAAAATTGGTATTAAAAATGTTTACTTCTTACTGTGGCTGGGAGGATTAAAGGATGGAAGTGTTTTGTAAACAGTAAAATGATGTACAAATGTTGCTATTAATGTTTCATAAGGTTCAAAAGTAGGCACATTTTTGGTAACTATCTCCTCATATTCAGTGTTTAGGGGCTAATTGCATACTAAAAATATAATTTACAAGAGGGTGGGACTATGTGAACATGTTTTTTTCCCCCATAGACTGCCAAAGCTTTTTTTTTTTTTTTTTGAGTTGGAGCCTCACTCTGTCGCCCAGACTGCAGTGCAGTGGCCGCTCCCAGCTACCGCAACCTCAACCTGCTGGGCTCCAGTAATCCTTCCGCCTCAGCCTTCCGAGTAGCCGGAATTACAGGTGCACACTACCACACCTGGCTAATTTTCTATTTATTGCAGAGATGAGATCTCACCAAGTTGCCCAGGCAGGTCTCGAACCCGCGGGCTCAGGCAATCCACTCACCTCAGCCTCCCAAGGCGCGGGATTATAGGCTGAGCCACTGAGCCCAGCTCTGCCAAAGCTTTTGAATGTAAGAGAATGCTCCTATGCATTTCTTCTGTTAAAGAAAACCCAGAACATTATTATTTTTTTAAACCTAGTTTATTGGAAACACAGGGGACAGAGGAAAATGTTAATGTCACTATGGACGCTATGCAATCAAGCCCAGAATATAGAAAAACTAAGATACAAATGATCCAATTTCTTCAATAAATAAATACTATATGAAAAAGAAAAAGTTGGGAGTGAAAGTGTTACAGACTTTTGGGACATATCAATTAAATGGGATATGTAGACTTTGGGATATGTAGACTTTGGAGTCTGATTCTATCAATTATAAAAATATATTTATGGGACAACTAGGGAAATTCTAACACTGACTCGATACTAGATGTTATTAAGAAATTATTATTTTTTCCAAGTGTGATCACTGTATTATGGTTGTATTTTTTTTTAAAAGTCTTTCTGGTAGAGATATATACTGAAATGTTTATAGATGAGATGAAACTATGCCTTGTGTTCTTTTTATCTTCTTTTTGAGTTGGAGTTTCACTTCGTTGCCTAGGCTGGAGTTCAGTGGCACACTCCTTGACCTGCTGGGCTCAGGCCATCCTTTCATCTCAGCCATCCAAGTAGCTGGAAGTACAGGTGTGTGCCACCATACCTGGCTAATGTTTTGATTTAATGTAGAGACAAGGTCTAGCCAATTTGCCCAGTCTGGTCTAGAACTCCTGAACTCAGGCATGTCTTTTGTTTTAACATAATCCAATGGGGAGGTGGAGAAAGTGGGAGATACAGATGAAATAACACCGGCCATATGTTGATTAGTATTGTGGCTGAGAGATAGGTAGATAGGGGTTCATTTATGTTTTTCTACTTTTCTATATGCTTGCAAGTGTCCATTATAAAAAACGAAAAACTAAAAAATGATAAGGTAGAGATATATATTGAAATTGAAAGCTCTCTTAAGATATAAGAAAATAAAAAAGCAAGATATATAGAATATCAACCCATTGATGTTTAAAAATATCCAACAACTATACTGCATTTACACCTACATAAGCATAATAAAAAGACCTGCAAAAAATACACACCCAGCTGTCAGCAGTAGTGTTTACCTGGAGAGAAGGATGAGATTGGGGTATGGGTGGGTAGCAGGGAAACTTTTACTTTTGTATTTTTCTGTATGATTTAATTTTTAAAACTGAGTATATACTCAATCTCCTACCTTCTCAACTTTATTTTAAAAATGAATTAAACAAACCATTCCTACTCACTTTGCAATGGCCTCATCACGGTCCCTGATGGCCTTCTGAAGTTGCTCCTTTGGCTCCCTCTCTTCAGATGTCACTCTGAGTCGGTCTCTCTCCTCTTTTAGTGCCGTCATCTCCACACTCAGCAGTGTCACCTAACAGGAGACCAAAGACTAATGAACATGATGACAGCACTGTTGCTAGCCTGGGCTGGTTTTCCCTCCAAGAGAAAAAAGGAACAAAGAAACCTCAGGAAGGCCAAGGGTATCCATGTGGATGTAGACTGATAGCATCTCACTGCTGTCCTGCTCCAAAGGAGGGCCCCTCTTCCTTTTACTGAGCTTGAGCTCAGTGGCAAGGAGGCTGGGGGATGTTCAGTCCTGGACCTGCAGTCACGGGCCAGATTCCCCTCAGCATACCACACCACCTCTTTCACCTTAAGGCACTGCCAGGTAACTAACGAAAAGACCCGATATGCATAGTGAAACACGTTTTTTGGGGGTAGGGACTCCAGTTTTGTTTCCAGCCATCTTTCACTCAACATGGATCCTGAGTGGCTCCAAAGCATGGGATCTGGCTCCCATCTCTGAGAGGAGATGGCGCAGCCTTGCTTTCTTTCATTCTTCCTCACTCAGCTCCCTAGGTCAAAGCCACAGGGAATCTAGACACCTAAATGGCATTATTATCTTTCACTTCAAACCTGTTACCTTGTCTGTGATCCATGCATCAGTGAAGGGCACCATAGCCTATAAGCCTTCATGTCCAACCTGGGAGTCATCTTTTGGCGGTGAGGCACCCCTCCTAGCAGCTCCATCAGTGACGACAGCTTATCCTACCTCAGTATAGTAACCCTGTGTACACCACAATCTCTATGATAGCAGAAAGCATGCCATAGCCTTCTGTGCATCCTAGGGCCTGACCACACATGGGGCTTAGTCCCAAAACATTTGTGCAGTGGACAATTGTAATTTTTTGGTTAGATATCATCCAAAAATCTCTTCCTATTTTGGTGACACTCTTGGTTGTGAGAGTCTTGGTGGGAGACAGGGCCCAATCTCCCACTAAGAAAGCCAAGGGAGCATAGACATTTCCTTTCCTAGGCAGCATGGGCAGGTGAACAAACTTGCCAGTCACATCCCCCACCAGGGACTGGCGCTCTGAGAGTCAAGCAAAGCCATAGGCAAATGGGAAATTATTTACAAGGGCGGCACATTGTTTCTGTTGTCCTTTTCCCATGACTCCTTCCTGTTCCAAGCTGAGTTCCCCTGCCTTCCTGTTGATTCTACAAGCTATCAGATTTAATATCAATATATTCTCTTTCTGCTTAAGTTGAGAAAATTTCTTCTGTTTGCAACCAGAAACTCTGCCTGATAGAGCTTTCAATAACTATTTACTGAATAATGGAAGGGTAGGAGTCCCTTCTTTTCAATTGATCAGATCAGACATGAGTCAGGATACCTGACCCTGCCCTTATGTTACATATTACACATGCTTTGACATTTTTCCAAGGGAGGATCCATCCATACAGGTCTGCCTCACTCCCACAAGAGGACAGATAATCATCTTTATGGTATACTCCTCTGTTCTTCAAGTCCCAGATCTAATCATCTTCAGACAGAATAAAATTGAGCAAAGGCCCTAGGACTAAGGCTGAAGATCAAACTCCCCAGACCGAGACAGTAGAGTTGCCAGCCCCTGGGGTAGCAGCCTCTCTGGAGGAATTCATGGGACACCCAACAATAAAGAGGGATAGAACGACAATTTGTTGCCATCATGAACAATAAATTTTGTACTCTTCAGAGTCTGATAGGAAACATTAGGGTCAGAAGCTCTGTATGTAGAACAGAGTAAAGCAGCAGCTTTCCTGGTGGGGACAGCTGAGTGAATAGGGTTGGAAGCCTCAGGGAACAACACGCTGAAGCACCTACAGTGGCCTGGTATGTATATGCATCCAGCCCTGAGCAGACAAGGCTCCAGGTGAGAAGCCCAGCCTCACCCTATTTACCAGCAGGCTCTGTAGTCTGGTAGGCCAGAACTCAAGATCCAGAAATCACCTGGCAGAGACAGCCAGATCTCTTCACAAACCAAATGAGCCGTGGCATGGCCTCAGGTCAGCCAGTCAGATGAGTAAGGGACAAGTAAACTACATGCTAGGCAGGAAATGCCAACCTTTAATATGCTCCAGATAAAACTCCAGAAGAACTTTTTATTTTGGCCTGGAAAACTTGATCAAACTAGAGCCTACCAGCTATATGCCTTAAGAGAGATAAAACGGGACCTACCCTCTTTGACCTGTACATACTTTTCATAAAAAGTGGGAATGAAAATAACTATTCCTCACCACTAAGTTGTCGTGAGGCTAAAACAAGATAAATAACATCAAGGGCCCAACGCAGTGCCTGGCATAGGGTTATAAGCTTTACTCTCACTTCCTCACTCCCCTGAGGCAGGACATAATTGCTGTTGTCAGGGAAATGGATCTGGCTTGTTTACACACAGACTTAGGTTACATACATCCCCCAGGTTCACTTTTCTCAAATAAGGTAGGTGTCCTCACAGTTAAATAGCATCAAAGAAAACATACTGAAGTCATATATCTGGGGCTTTATTTGTTCTTTCATTCAACAACATTTAACTGTCTATTCTAAGCAAGGCTAGACACTTTAGAAGATAAATCTATATCAGATCTTGAGCTTGCCCTAATAGATTTTATGGTTTGATCAGGAAGATGAGATGTGAGGCAGGGTACCCAAGACAAGGAAGAGCCAGGGGTGCTTTGTAAAGGGAATCAAGAGAGTTTCAAGGTGGAAGTGAAGTCTGATCAGGAACTTGAAGGCTGAGTAGGGTCAAGGTCTGAGCAAATGGAAGGGAAGGGCCTTCCGAGCAGAGAGAAAGCTAGAGAGAGGATCTAGATGCGTGAAGTGTAGGGAGCACGTGCCACTGTCCTTTTATATCCTATGTTCAGCTCTCTAAAACAAAAGGGGACAAGAGGGAAACCAGAGGGAAGGAGGCTGAATGGCTAGAAGGCAGCCAGATCATGTGGCTACTAGGACCAGAGACCTCCCATCATTTGATTATGGGAATTCACCCAGAACTTGTCAGTGGTGTCCCATTTTTAAGTCACGCTTCAGGAAGATCAATCCAAATCCTGTGAGGGTGGGTGGGCTGGGAGAAGACAGATAAATTGGGAAGTGGTGACCACAGCCAGGGTGTGAAAAGATGTAGGTCCGAAGTAGGGCAGTAGCTAAGAGAATGGAGGAGAGGGACATGCTGAGATTTTATAGAGGAGAAGGCATCCAGATTTGATTAGTGAAGCCCTACATGCTCTCAGTACCCCTTCTCTGTGTTTTTATGCCCCTTTTGGAGTAACTGGCTAGTACTCTAGTCGAGCATGAAAAATCCAAACAGAACTAGGATTGTGCTTCTTACTGAGCCTCCTGCAATTTGAGTTACTGGCTTAAGAATCAGCTAAGGGCCTCACAGATAACCAATATTCATAGCTTACAGATTAATCACTCAGAGATCTTCCCTGCCTTGTAACACCTGCCCCATGTGTACCAGAAGTGAAGGCAAGCCACGTGACCTGTGGAGAATAGAGGAGGGAGGCAGTTCTTTGCCACTGATGCAGAGGAGATGCAGAGGGGGCATGACATGCTATGAGAGACTTGTGTTTCCCAGGTACAATAATGGACACAGGCAAGTGTTCAGGTCTGGCTATGGATTTTGCCTCAAACAGATAACTATCTGTCAAATTATACTTGGTCTCTCTTTTATTTAGAAATGTAGGCCTCCAGGTCCCACATCTTTGACCTGTGGCCTAGTTTTTAGGAGATAAAAGAACATTCTTAGGTAGAAAAATAGCAGGCTCAGATCATGGCTCTTCCATCAGTTGAGGCTTGGGCCTGGTCTAGGAGCTGTTTCCTAGAACCTCAGTCCCCCCTAACCTCATCTGTGTCCTACCCCCAAAAGGGTCCAGAGATGGTTGACTGTCCTTAAGACACTGTAAAGTCCTGGAATGCAGTGGTCCGGCACATTCACCTTGTGTCTCTCAGAGTCTAGCACAGTACCAGGCACACAGGGGTATCCCCTTTTCATGTCACACTTAAGGAAGATCAGTCCAAATCATGTGAGTGTGGGTTGGTTGGGAGAAGACAGATAAGTTGGGAAGTGGTGACCACAGTCAGGATGTGAAAGGATGTAGGTCAGAAGTATGCTCAACTAAGGAACACCATGCCCACTGTGATGGCTACAATTTCTACAGTCATTCTGGAACTCAATCTGCATCGCACCCACTGCCTGGGGAGGTCAATGTTATTCCTATGGAGCAGTTTTGGTGGATACAGCATGACTGAAAGTTCTGCTTTGAGCATTTGGGAAGAAATGGCCTCCAGGAGCGGCCCAATTCTATACTGTGTGGGACATGAGTGCGACCATTTGTTTGGGAGCAATATGAAAAGGAATCCATGGCCTCAGCCAGTATTTAGCTGAACTGCTAAGAAATATTTCCGGTTGGAGATGGCTTCCTCAATAGTTCTACACTGGACTTTTAGCAACTGACACTTTGTTTCTGGAGAATTTTTTTTTTTTTTTTTTTTTTTTGAGTGGAAGTCTCACTCTGTCACCCAGACTGGAGTGCAGTGGCCGCTTCCGGCCACCGCAGCCCTCGACCTGCTGGGCTCTGGCGATCCTTCCGCCTCAGCCTTCCAAGTAGCCGGAATTACAGGCATGCGCCACCACGCCTGGCTGATTTTTTGATTTATTGTAGAGATGAGGTCTCGCTGCCCAGGCGGGTCTCGAACCCGCGGGCTCAGGCAATCCACTCACCTCAGCCTCCCAAAGGCACGGGATTACAGGCTGAGCCACCGAGCCCGGCTGGTAATTTTTTTTTTTTGTGGCAACTTTAGCTGACTAATACAGAGTGTTATCAGAGCTTTGGCTACAGTATTTAAAATCTGGTGGATTTTTAATGCTAACACAGTTACCAATATTTGCCCTTTTGGTTGGAGATTTTTATGTATTGTTTTAAAACTCCAACTCTGTCATGGAAATATTTTATCTATCTACTAAAAGTTTTTGATTTTGCCTTTTATGTTGATATTTGTAATCTACACAGCATTCTTTTAGATGTGAGGGAGGGGTCCAATTTTATTGTTTTACATATACATATTCATTTCACTCTGGTATGATTCTCAAAAAATTCATCTACAAACTGCTCCATAGTAATCTGGTTATAAAGTGAGCCTCACTAGATTTTTCTCCTTCAATGACTCCTTATTACTTAACAAATAAAATCTGTTAGGGTACAGAGGGTGAGAGTGGATAGATGGATGGGGAGGGGCACAGCACCTCTGGAGTCGGCATGC